GGGAGTTATACAACAATAAAAATAAATGTTAAAACAGGGCAGAATAAATCATTGTCAAGAGAAAGGGTATAGATTTTAAAAAGCAAATATCTCACAATTTTGTCATTGACTGCCTATTTGTCATAATTCCTAAGTAGGTAAATGGAGGAAGGGGTGATCATACCTCGAAAATGGTGACTACACATCTAAATTCGTTCTCTTCCTTCCCCACCGTTTTTACCTTTTGACTCATGGTCTCATATCCAAAATTTCCTCTAAGGGGGAGGCTTCCCACCTCTCTTCAGGGTCATATTTCAAACAGATGATCCTGGTGAATTTACTTTGTAATTCTCATCTGATGTTGGATTGTCATTTCTTCACCAGCCATCGGGATATACTATACATTTAAAAGGAATGTATCATGTTTAAACAAGACACACTGGACCAGAAGGTAGACTTTCTAGATGCCCTACCCATAGTGCCCTAGGGGATGGTTACCATATGTAACACCAGAAAGGACTTAAGGCAGTTTTTACATTGTATATATTTCTCTGATTATCAGAGTAATATATACTGATTGTAGAAATTTTTAACAAAGTTGCAGAAACAAAATGGAAAAGATGAAAATTTCTACTAACTAGGGCGATCTCGAACATATTCCTTAGAGGTTTAAAAATACATTTTGTTCGTGTGTAATCATGTTCGTTATTGTGAAGTCCGCTGTGCAACTGCTGTGTCTACTTGACGTTCCGGAGTCCATATTTGTCCAACGCATTGAGTCTTCTTGGTTAAAAAACTCATCTATAATAGTTTCACTATGAAGTAGTCAGGGTGATTTTTGATTCCTTGTGATTATAAATAGCATGTAAGAACATCTTGTGTATAAATCTTTCTCTTACTTTTGGATGGTTTATTAAAAGAGAAATTAGTAGCTTCAAGGGTGTAAACATTGTTTTAAAGCTGCTGGCACACACTGCTAGACCGATGTCCAAAAATGTTCTGAAATTATACTAAGTTCAAAGATAACAAGGTCCACTGGAAGTACGGCGTCTGTTAAAAAATATTAGATAACAGTTGTTGCAAAGACTATGCATGGGGGGATCCTCTGGAAAAAGGGAAATATTAAAGTATTAAATTTTTTACATTAGATTTTCCACTTCATACAATATGTCCGGGCTATTAGGGAAAAGAGGAAAAGAGAAGAACTTGGTGAGACCTTCATTTAGAAGCCATTCATAAACTTACATGTCAGAAATTATCAATTTGGAAAAATAAGTTTACTAACATCAATTCATATATATTTTAAGCAGTGATTCAGAATATTGATTTTTATGATAAAGTAGTACATTGGTTTACTTTATTTAAGTTTATATAGATTCATACAATAGGAAGCAATAGCAGTGTTTTTCAAACAGCATTGTTTTCCACTAGGGAGCTATGGTATAATTTATTATGACTAGTATTTTAAAAAGTGAAATATAATATAATTGCATAGAAAACATCAGCAGGCATAGTACCTAGTGTGAAACCTTTGTTTCAGTTACCTCCATGTGCGTGCTCTCTGAAAAGTATTTCTTTTTATTTTTCATTTTACCACAAATTATTTTTATCACTCCCCATTTGGAAGAACCTCAATAATTGAAGCAAAACTTCTTCAAGAATGCATTAAGAGTTTGCAAGAAATTATTGCAGAAACCTTAACTTGATGCAGGCAGATTTTGACCACAGGTATGTGTGGTTTCAAATTGTTTTTAGTTGTCTGGTTAACAAATCATACACCAGATACCTATTTGCTGCCATCTTTCGTGACCAATGCGTCAATTCTGATTCACAGCGATTCTGTGGACAGAGTAGAACTGCCCTTGTGTTTTAAAAAAAACACATCATATCATTCCATAGTTCAATCACATCAAGCATAATTGTACTATTGCTACCAAATTCATTTCCAAACATTCCTTTTCTATGTGGACTCCTTGACATTCGCTCCCCTTCACTCCCACTCCACCACTGGACTCTTCACCGCAAGCCCTTATTCTACTTGCTGTCTCTATATAGGTTCATCAATCCTGGGTTAAAAAAATTTTTTTTAATAGTGGTTTAAAATTTATTTCTTGTGATTGGGGGTGGGGAGTTTGAAGCAACTGGTGTAGTGGAAAGTCTGGCCTTTGAAATTAGCCCTACCTCTGCAGGTGGGCCCTAGGTGATGTTTGTTAATTGTCTGGCTTCTCTATGGCTTAGTTCCCTGATCTAAAAGAGAAAGTAATAATATTTCGTTTCTGTGTGTGAGATGAGCAGCTTACTTAAGTAAAGGGCCTAAAACATAGTCACTGCATGTTTCCGTAGTATTGACAGGTGCCATGCAGCCGATTCAGATTCATAGTGACTGTATAAACGCCAAAGTAAACACCCTGCCATTGATCGATGCCGACTTTAGCGACCCTGCAGGGCTGCGAAGAGCTGATCCTGACTTTCCAAGACTGTGACTCTATTGTTGTAGAAAGCCCCATACTTCTACCGAAGAGGGGTGCATGGTTTTGAACTGCTGATGTGGGGGTTAGCATCCCAACTCCTATTTACTTCCAAATCTTTTCCAAAGTAATGCTCTCTGTGTAAGTACACTTGATTAGGATTAGGAGGGAGAATTTTTTTTAATGACTAAATCTGTTATGCTATAGCCCATTTCCGTCTTTTCCTCCACTTTCCTTTAGCAAGGAGAATTAGACAGAGCTTATTCCCCTCCTTGACCTCCAATTGTACTTATCATCTGTACCGTGGATCTTGGCACGGTATTAAAAATCCTTCTTGTCCAGTTCATGAGCCAGTATTGCCAACTCTCAAAGTTCTTGTAGTGTTTAACACCGTGCAGGGGCTCATTGCAGGGCGGGGGGTGCTTGCTGAACATGGGTGGCGTGTGCGTCGTTGTGCAGCTCTTGCCAAGTGTGCAGCGGACAGGGGACGTAGATGAAATGCCGGTTCTCCCAGTCCTTCTCATTCAATCTACATGCTAAACATGTCTCGGGGTGGCACAAGGGAAAGGTGTGAGCAACAGTAACCACTTTCTCCGAGGAGAGAGGACAATTAGATGCTGCTCTTCCCTCCCCACTTCTACTCCCATCCGAGAGGGCGCATTGCTAAGCCCCGGGGACCAGGGCCCAGAAACGCGCCGGCGGCGGCCTGAGCTCCAGGGCCTTGCCAGCACGCACGGTCGCCCGCCCTGAGAGCCCTTCTTCCCAGATGGATTCTCATAGTCTCACCGACACTCGCCGTGCTGATCGATACTGCACGGCGGCAGACGTGCTCCCGCCGTCAAGTGCAGGCACGGGGCGGCGGAATTAGCCGCCCTGCCGCTCGCGCGCAGCGTCTCGGCAGCTCAATATGGGCAGACGACGTTCCCGTTCCCCGGCGGGC